GATGTACCATTTCTTGTGATCATGGTTAGAGAGGATGGTTTATGATTGTCCATCATCAAAGATTAATGGTTATATTGGAAGTATAAGAAATTGAATCCTGAGTTTCAAATGTTACAGCTAGTGCATGATGAGGATTACACTACAGTCAGGAATGTTTGAACCATTTCCGAGCAGCCTGTTAACATCCAGTCTGGGGGTGACATTTAAACCAGTGGATGACTGCATGAGTCACATTCTATATAATCACGCTCAACCAGTGAAGATCCGGGTTAGAATTGGTCTCAGCAACCCATGCTTGTTGTTAGAGGTGACTTCGGGATTGGGGGGTCAGGCCTGCTGACTTGGTTGATGCATGTCAGCAAATCCCCATTATGTGAATCGATGCTCATGATATCAATCACTGGATTGTCTGGTCCAGACTTTATTATTTAGGGACACTGTCATAAAGTTAAATATAGCTGAGTGCAGCATTAAACAACAAACAAACACACCTATCCTGGCACAAGGTTCATGTTATTCTAAAACATGGATCTTCTACACAGTAGTAGTCAGCAAGATATGATCTACAATCCAGTGATTGGTAAGGAAGTTTATCATCCAAAACTGGCTTCCTCAGGAGATATCGCTTGGGTGATAAAGGTGGAAAAAAATCCTCAGCAAGCCTCAGAGTTTTCCCACTTTTATCAACTCGTGTTGATATATTTGATATCAAAAGACACTCGGGTGAGATTCTCTATTTCTTCATGGGCCTTTGGCCCCATGTTTACAAAATTTATGGGCCATTTTTGGCAAGTATGGTCATACATTTCACTCTCTGAGCCACTGATCATTGCAAAGGGCTGCAGATTCTACATTACTTAAAAATGATTGCAGCAGAAGATAACACTATTCTTTTTGCATTTCATCAATAAATATCCCTGTGACAACTTACAAGCAAAACTACTGCCATTCTGCTGGTTCCAAACTGTCGCCTCAGTCACAAAGCAGAGGGTAAAACTTTAAATAGTCACTATATATAGGACTTGAGAAAATGAATGATGTAACCAGTTCAAATCATATGTAATAGAAACGTTTTGGGAAGAATTAAAAAAAATGAATGATTTCATGTGAATGAGTACTGGCCATAAACCAGTTACTGGCATTTTTTACCATGTTATTTCTGAAATATTCCGTGTGTTAAGTTGACTGTACAAATTACTTTAGTTTTTGTGAAATTTTGAGCTTATGCACTCATTTCTGTCTGTGGAAAATGTTTGGCGATAACTGGTTGGTACCCAGTAGTGTAAACAAAGATGGCGGCAAATCGGCGCTTCAAAGGTCCTGATGATGATTTGTGATTTGTCAGTCGAGGTTAACTTGACGGTACAGGGTAGAAATTTATTGCACAGGCAGTATTACTGTATTTTTTATGTGCCATATTTGAAAATGATTCATGATTCATTCATGGCACATAACTTTTACCATCATTGCAATCATAAGGCCAGACTAAGGGAAATTTATATTTTTACTTGTTATAATCCTGAAATGTTTCATTGAGCACTATCAATACAGTTCTAAGATTGAATGCATGGCATGGAGTCATACCATGGATGACATCCCTGCCTTGTCAGCATGCTTTGGTCATGTGGACAAGGTGGCAGACCTCGGATCAGAAGTGAAAGAAGTCCTATCACAAACCTTGTAAATGGCTGCTACAACCAAATGAAGTTTGCGTTTAATTTTGTGCTCCTGGGTTTGAAAGAAACTTGAAAGACTTGTGTCACTTTTGTCTTTCTTCTTGCTTCAGTTTGTCTGACATGCCATGATATGATTGTGAATAGTATATATACCATTTTTTTCTGGATTTGCTCCAAAATGACCTATAATACTGCAATTTTAGAATTATAGAATCATATTAGGCTGTAGTGACTTTGTATATACAAAATATCAACATGTCAACACAGCAGATAAGCTAGAACTAGGTGTCTGGAAAACAGAATAATGTTCCAATTTCTCCCAAACCTGGCGCTAATAGTTATGTAAATGGCAGCCCGAGATGAAGACTGCTTTGTAACAATACAAGCCATGCTCTTGACTATTGGTTTGACTGTGTTTTGTGCAGCTTTATCGCACAGTGTAAATTAGGTCACCTAGGACCCAGGAAAAGTTTTGACACAGCTAAGACTTAAGCCAAACAAAATTCAATTTGATTTCCATGAAAATAGGTTTTTCCGCAGGCGTAATGGATCCCTGTATGTTACGAGGGGGAGCAATTTTGGTGCGACTAATTTCTTGTTTTATTAGGCGATTCCCTCATATTGTGCATATGTATAGCAGGCTAAGGTGTTCATAAGACGTGATTACTGACCCATTAACAGAATAGCTGCGTCAATTCCACCATTTGATATTCACCTTAATTTCCATATAAATGGGTGCTCAGACCAATGTTGGTAGCCCGGACATATATGAACAAGAATCAGTTGGTTACGCTTCCCTAACAACTGTCATTCCAACTTGACATTTTGTAGCTATTCCAATGGTGTTGCAATTTAAATCTAGCTGATGTATTTGATGATGGCCTGTGGAGCATTTGACAGGGTGTTCAGCCTTATTGAGCCAACCATGGGGAGCATGTGGAAAAACAGTGTAATATGGTGTTTCAGAATTATGTCAGGAGATCTTCTACTGCCCTGTCATGGTTGGAAGGATTATGGTTTGAAAGATACTCAAGATTTACATTCATGATTCACAGGTGGGGTGAATGTAAAATGGGAATAAAGGATTTGGCAGCTGTTACTTTATTTTCTAGTTAATTGAGATGAATAGTTTCAATTTTCAAGGCAAGACAAAAGAAAAAATACATATGGTTTGTTTTCTCTTTCTTTTGTTCCTCTGAAATCAGACATATGTAAAAACACAATCAAGGATTAAACCCATGAAACACACACGCACACTAGATGTCTGATGATCATGTTGCTCCTGTAAAATCCCATACTGTGGTGTTAGTTACTTGTGAAATTGTAATGATGTTTTATTCATGCTAAAAATGCTGTCTCAAGGTGTTCAACTTTCTCTTTTACGGGCTGAGAGATCCTGGGATCTCTGTGTCTTTGGTCCAAGGTGCACACCTTTCTCTTTTACCTGCTGAAAGATCCTGGGATCTCTTCGTATTTAGTCTCTAGGTGTTTTTTACCTTTCTCTTTTACCTGCTGAAAGATCCTGGGATCTCTTCGTATTTAGTCTTTAAGTGTTTTTACCTTTCTCTTTTACCTGCTGAAAGCTCCTGGCATCTCTTCGTATTTAGTCTCTAGGTTTTTTTACCTTTCTCTGTTACCTGCTGAAAGATCCTGGGATCTCTTCGTATTTAGTCTCGAGGTTTTTTTTACCTTTCTCTTTTACCTGCTGAAAGATCCTGGCATCTCTTCGTATTTAGTCTTTAAGTGTTTTTACCTTTCTCTTTTACCTGCTGAAAGATCCTGGCATCTCTTCGTATTTAGTCTCTAGGTTTGTTGGAGACACACTGTTATTCTGTGAAAGCAGGATTTGGAAAAAATCAATTTCTTTCACAATGACATTTTTATTATCAGGACATCCAGTGTGTCCCTTGAAAACAAAGTATCTTTTTAAAAAATAACACCCAGATATACAATGGTCAGCCCACTCTGTATGTAACATCAGTGGGAAAAGTGTTTGCTGAAAGTGCGGTGGAGCTTGGAGTTTTCAAGTGAACCAGAGTCAATCTGAATTGATGTAAGCTTCCTGTAATCACATTTCCCAATGATAATATATTTATGGCGACTATCAATAGTCCCAATCAGCATATTGAGATATTTATCAGGATGAACATCACATTGAATAGTGAAATTGTAAGGTACGGTAATGCCATTATTATTCAGCGTAATCGCTGCGTTGGTAATGTGCATTAAAACCTATACATCTACATTTAAGACTAAAGTGGCCTCATTAGAATTGAGAGATTGTGTTCTGCAGCTTTCATTGTTCACTGATGTAAGCTAACCCTGTAACTGATCGATGCCTCACGTAGCCTGAAGGTCATGCAGCCCCTCTGGGGCGTGAATGTCTTGCATATGGTGTCTGCATAATGGTACATAGAACTAGCGACTCGTGGTGAACATTCTGCAGGCTCACTTGATGCAACTTTGTCAAGCTAGCTCACACAAACCTACACATCTTCCAGAGGTTCATTTTTGGTAGCAACATAGTATTCAAAGCATTGCACTGGATCCAAGGTCTCAGAAAAATGTTTTCTTTTACGTTTGTCTTCTTTTTAAACAATGATTTTGCTGACACCTGCAAATATCTACAGAATTTCTGCCAAAATCCATTTCATGTTTATATGAATGCTAACTCTAAAGTGTTCTTGTTAGATTGCTCGTAGTGTGGTACTATTTGTACTCATATGTGGTGCCTGTTTTTGGTGTTGGATATTGTTAAGGCGTGACACTATGACATGGTGCCTGTTTTTGGTGTTGGATGTTGTTAAGGCGTGACACTACGACATGGTGCCTGTTTTGGAGGTTGAATGTTGTTAAGGTATAGCACTCCAACATTGTGCCTGTGTTTGGTGTTGGATGTTGTTAAGGCGTGACACTACGACATGGTGCCTGTTTTTGGCATTGGATGTTGTTAAGGCGTGACACTACGACATGGTGCCTGTTTTTGGCATTGGATGTTGTTAAGGCGTGACACTACGACATGGTGCCTGTTTTTGGTGTTGGATGTTGCTAAGGTTTAGCAGTCCGACATGGTGCCTGTTTTTGGCATTCGATGTTGTTAAGGCGTGACACTACGACATGGTGCCTGTTTTTGGTGTTGGATGTTGTTAAGGTGTGACACTACCACACGATGCCTGTTTTTAGTTAATGTTCTGAAGATGTGGTAGTCTGACATAAGGCACAGTTACAAGTGTATGTGTTTAATATTCTTAATACAGAAAACAGCATATACTATTACAATTTATCAGTTGTCTTCTTGAATGTAATAATATACTTTTGTTGCAGGATTCCAAACTGCGAGAATCATTGCAGAGCGGAGGAGGGGATGGGTCCCTGGAAGATCGAACACTTTCCGTCGTGACGGGCAGTGACATGTATAACATGGAACTAACCAACTTTGTGTCAACAACGAAAGAAGTAGCAAAGGTATGTATGTATACATACTGCTGCATTAGGAAATGGCCCACTGGCGCAGGTGGCACAGTCAACTCTCTGTGAAGTGTTGCATTCATCACCCAATCCTGGGCCCACTGGCCATCAGTTCCAGATTCTAGCTAATTGTGGCCTTTGGTCTGTCTGACATACCCAAACGGGGCTCTGGATTTCTTGAAACTCTTAAATACTTATGACTAATGCAGGGATTTTTCTAGACCTGCTGCAGCAAATGATTGCAAAAAAATTCATATTTGATTTTTTTTTTATCCAATTCCTTAGAATTTACAAAAATCACATTAAAATTTTTTAACTTTTTAATAATATCACAATTTGTTTCACAATTTGCCTGCCAAAGGTGCTTAGTTTGGAATTCTGGAGATGTCCCTACAATGTCACATTGGTATTCCTTCCACAATAAGCTGACATGCTGTCATGTAGCCATCTTCCCGAGGCAAGTGAGTTAACTGACTATAAAAGTCCAGTTTCCACCCTTGCCGAACTAGGCTGGTATTATGGAGTTACATTTTGGCTGGGCTAACGAGTCTATGCATAGTCCAATCAAAATCGTGCACCGAAATTGAAATCCGGTTTGTAAAATGTCGTGTGGATTTCTGTCGATTGCAGGATTTGCAGAGCATGTGCACCGCAAACTCGTTGTCAACAGATATTTTCCAAGTCTTTTCATGTTTTTAATCAAGGTGCTCACGTGATTTGATGCACTTCGCTATGTAAGACCCGTTTTATCACAATATAGATCTTGATTATCAATCAGATCGTTTTGACTGGGCGCCACCATTTTGTTTGAATCAAATACAAGTGATACGAGAGGTGGAATCTGATTGGTCCATTGGAGAGGCTTAGAAGGAACATAACTCGTAATAACCACTGGTGGCGCTACGGTAGAGCCCAGGAATTCCAGCCTAGTTCGGCAAGGGTGGAAACTGGACTTTTAAAGTCAGTTAACTCCCTTGCCTCGGGAAGATGTCATGTAGCTGAAATTCTTTCAGACCCAAATAGCTCACTCTGCGGATACAGAGGGGGGGTGCGCACCCCCCTTTTTATTTCGAAAAAAATCTTTATTTCTTTATAAATTACCACCAAAAACAATAAATAGATCTTAATTGTGCACCCCCCTTTTAAAAAAAGCTGTATCCGCCCATGCTATATAATACCTTGGGCAACAGTGGCGAGGGGTATTGCATACATTCAGTGTAAACAGTGTATGACAAAGATGCTTTTGAAGACAGTTTATTCTACTTAGAGATTAAAGTGGTTGCTTGTCTGGTTTTGATCCCTGGTTTGATCTAATTTGCCATGTCCATTCGTGATGTTCCCTGCCTTGAAGCGGAACAATGATTATGTTTTGCGGTTTGTCAGAAATACTGTTCAAATTTAACTGACCTCTGTTAGGAATGTGCACTGCTGTGGGGTATCTTGATTTTTGTTTGAGATGAAGGTTGTTGTGCAAACATGCTTCTTGTGATCCTCATAATGATGGGACCGCCTCAGTTGCCAAGTGGTAGAGCATCTGCCCGGAGTGCAGGAGGTCCGGGGTTCGATCCCCGGCCACAAAGAAGAGTGAATGAGGTTTTACGCCATTTTTAGCTTTAACCATTAGGCTACCCGACCTTCCCTCCACAAAGAAGATGTTAAAAGATGGTATTTGTTGTTACCCTGCCTTGCGCTCTGCATTAAAGGGATAAAACAAGGACTGGTCAACTCGGAGTCAGTATACTGTGTCTGAATGGGGTATTCATGTTAAACTACAGCATGGTATCTCAGTGGGCTAGCACTATAAAATCGGCAATAGTTTGGACTAGTACGAGCAGCCACACACACACTTGTGCCTGCACATCTCTGTATAAGTGCAATAATCTTGGATGCGATGTTAAACCTCATTTCACCTCCCCTCGTTATTATGTTTGTGTTAAGATAATACTGCAATGATACTTAAAACAACATGCAACTGCACTCACTCACTCACTCACTCACTCACTCACTCACTCACTCACCCCATGTGATGGCAGTTTCCTTCACTTAAAGCAAGTTATGAATTCTCAGAGCTTCATGTAACACCGATCTCTAACTTGCTATCATGGAATAATTCAATAAGAATGAATTCATTTTGATTAGAACAGAAACAGTGCAAGCATCTTCGTCACTGTGTTTCATTTTAACCCATTTAGAAAGTCACTGTGCGTCAAGAACGATGCCTTACTTGTTTTGATGAGAATAATTTATGAATAAAACGGAGACAGCTGACGTCTATTGATTATTCAATTCGTGCAACTGAGCGTTTGGGAGACCAATCTCATTTGTCTAGTGTGCGGATACAATCTCTATCACCATACAGTGTCCCTCACTGGTGTTTCCTAAACGTATAGGGACTACCACGACCTAATTATAGGTTAACGATCGTCATTTGATAAACTGAGATATTTCATTGACCCAGACAGTGGTCTGCGACTGTCGCGGGATATTTTATGAAATTGTCAGCTCTTGAGTGGGCCTTATGTTATTAGTAGGACCATAAGATCTGTGTAAACTCAGGGTGTATTGTGTCACTGTTTAGAACAGGGTACTGTTTTGAACCATATGAGACAGCATTCTCACTGACTTAAGTGGTTGACATTTGTAATGGTGGTATAGGAGACAGACCAAACATATTGACTAGGTTTATCAGTAGCTGGACAGTAGTAACTTGGCCTCAGTAGCTGACCTCAGTAGCTGGACATCAGGTGCTGGACCTCAGTAACTGACATCAGTAGCTGGACCTCAGTAGCTAGACATTAGTAGCTGACATCAGTAGCTGGACATCAGTAGCTGACATCAGTAGATGGACCTCAGTAGCTGACATCAGTAGCTGACCTCAGTAGCTGACCTCAGTAGATGGACCTCAGTAGATGACATCAGTAGCTGGACATCAGTAGCTGACATCAGTAGCTGGACATCAGTAGCAGACATCAGTAGCTGGACATCAGTAGCTGACCTCAGTAGCTGGACATCAGTAGCTGACCTCAGTAGCTGGACATCAGTAGCTGAAATCAGTAGATGACATCAGTAGCTGGACATAAGTAGCTGGACATCAGTAGCTGACATCAGTAGCTGGACTTCAGTAACTTGACATCAGTAGCTGGACCTCAGTAGCTGTACATAAGTAGCTGGACATCAGTAGCTGACATCAGTAGCTGATTCAGAAGATGGACCACAGTAGCTGACCTCAGTAGCTGAACATCAGTAGCTGAACTTCAGTAGCTGAACCTCAGTAGCTGACATCAGTAGATTTACATCAGTAGCTGAACCTCAGTAGCTGACATCAGTAGCTGGACCTCAGTAGCTGGACCTTAGTAGCTGGTATGATTCGATTGCAAGCTGCTGTGATGTATTGAGAAGCTTTTATTGTACTTTAGAATAGTAGTCTCGTAACAGTCTAAATTGAATCATCTGCAAGGCATATTTTGTCAATCAATACCAGAAGTGAGGCAGACTTGCTCCCCCAGTTCGAGGATCATTCTTATTTAACAATTACCACAGAGTAATCTATGGATGCAATGACCGGGGCCAAGCTCAACAAAGTGATTTTAGTCCTACGACCATCCCAATCCCTATACTTTAACATCTTAAATTAGTTTCAGTGCTAAGATCACTTTGTGGAACAGGGCAAAGAACAGTTCAGCAATTGCTGCAAATATGTCAACCAACAGGGATCCTAGCTCCAAATGATATTCTTTAGTGTCGAGTTGTTGCAAGTCTAACTGATACAGTATGCTAGATCATTCTTGTAAGCCTTAATCTCACTAATTATAATTCACACTGGCTCAATCACTCTAAGGTGTATGTTATTGAATAATCAGTAGGGGCAGCTGTTGTTTGTCCACCATGATGTTTGCAATGAGTCAGGGCAATGACTGCAAGGGAAGCACGCTGTCGAAGGAAGACTTTGTATTGTACTTGATGAAGCCATGTGTGAATTGTCTTTGTAGAACTTGTATTTGGTCAACAATAGTGTGTTGTTGCTAGGGGACACTAGCCTCCCAGTGGTCAAAGAGTTGTGTCCCTTTCATGCCACTGGATCTTGTGGGTTCAAATCCCAGATACATCCTGATGATGATCAATTGTGGGTCAGCATTATATATATTTAAATATGATTTATATTTTTATTTATTCCCTTCTTTGAGGTTTTAAATACTACATAAGAGAAATAATTGTGTGTTTTGTAGTGTTGACTGAAAAAATAGGCCGTCTCAAACAAAGTGCCAGCCTCCCAATATTTAGTGGTCAGTCCCTAAGTTAGTTTACATGTCACATTGAGTGCCAAAGAAGGCGGCACAGTGGTCTGATGTCGCTGCCAAGATCTGCTACTTACATCCTAGACTCACTGAATAAGATCCTTGAACCCTTGCTTGTGAACATTCGTGGTAGAATAGGTCTTCACCAACCTGTGCTTGCCGTAACAGGCGACTATGCCTGTCATAAGAGGCGACTAACGGGATCAGGTGGTCAGGCTAGCTGACGTTCATGCATGTCATTGTATCCCAATTATGTGGATCGATGCTCATGATGTCAATCACAGGATTGTCTGGTCTAGACTCGATTATTTAAGGACCGCTGTCATGTATATGGAATTATGCTGAGTGCAGCATCAAACAACAAACAAACAAAAAGCTTGAAATAATAGTTACAAACAGTACCTGCAACTTTGTCTCTCAGTGCTTATGTCCTCCCACCATCCATGCTGTCTTCAACAGTTTACATTGCAACACTGCAGCAGATGACAAAACTAAATGTTTAATTACTTCATCTGCCACAGTAGATGAGTTCATCAGCTGACCTTCACCATGGCTGACTGGCCAGTCATGAATCTTATCAATTCCATCCTGCTTGTTTTGGCACTATTGCGGTAAAGGTTTCAAAGATGTTTGATCAGATGTGTCTGTTGGGTCTAAACTGAGAAATATCAGCCATGAGTTGTGATAATGATAGGCCTGTTC